TGGCTAAAAATTTAAATATTCATGTTAATATGTTTATATCCAGCTTGTAGAATGACACTCCATTTGATATTTTCTGACTCTGCTCAGAAGTAAGCCTTTATGATTCTTGAATGAGAGTCAGTGCCTCAAAGATGAGCATATCAGAGACGTTTGACAATAGCTTTCAAATAAATGAGAGAATAATGCACAGAAGACCGATAATGTACAAAAGCTCAGTAAATTAAATCAATAAATTCAATATTTAGAATATACAAAAAAACTCAGAAAAGTAGGCCCCTCCCCATAAAAAAATTCAATTAAAAATTGGGCAACTGAAATGAATAACACTAACACTTCTCAGAAGAAGTACAAATGGCCAAAAATTATGTGAAAAATGTTCAGCAGCTTTATGCATTAGAGAAATACAAATCAAAATAACATTGAGATTTCTTCTTACTCCAGAAAGAATAGCTATCAACAAGAACTCAAAAAAGCAACAAGTGTTGGCAAGGTTGTAGGGGAAAAGGAACCGTTCTGCATAGTGGGAATGTAGACTAGTATAGCCACTTTGGAAATCAGTGTGGAGGTTCCTCAAAAAACTGAAACTAGAAATGCCATTTGACCCAGCTGTACTTGTTCTGGGTATCGTCCCCAAAGAGTTAAAGGATCACATTACAATGATACATGCATACCAGTGTTTATAGCAGCACAAATCATAATAGCTAACTGTTGAAAGCAGCCTACAGGACCATTAACCCATGAATGGATAAAGAAAATGTGGTATGAGTGCAAAATGGAGTACTGCTTAGCTGTAAAGAAAGATAAATCTGAGTCATCCGCAGGAAAATAGATGCAACTTGAGAAATAAATCAGACACAGAAGGTGAAATATTGCTTGGTTTTTCTTACATAGGATTTTCAAAATATAAATAGAATTTAAAGAGCAAAATGAAAGATATGAGAGAAATAGGGAGACAGACTTTGTAGAGAGGGGAAGGGGATTGAGGAAGGCGGAGATGGGAGGGAGGAGAGAGGAAGGGAAGGGAAAATGACTGGGATAAAACATGTGCAGGTGCCCGTTCCCCAAGAGGAATGCAATTACTGTTTATCACAAACACATACACATACAAAAGGAAACAAAAAAATGAAAGAAAAGCTCAGTAAAGGTTTGCTTTAGAAGTCTGGGGTTCAACATGTTTCTATCATATTAAGTTGCAAATTAGTTGAAAAACAAGAAAAATTTCTCTGGCTTTACTTCTGCCTGTGAGAAGACAAACCCATTTAAAAATTACCCACACTGTATGGAAATGAAGTCTTTGTAAATAGGGAAGGGTGGAAGGGGTGAAGGGAGGCCAGGGGAATGGGGAAAAAATAAGAACCAAGACCTGTCATGCAAAGGTACAAGATCCCAACAATGAATGTAACTGGATTGTATACCTAAAATTGTACCGATAAATAAAACACCCACATGGGGGAACCAGTAAATAGGGATCCAAACAGCTCCTAATTCTGTGACTTTCATGACTAACAATAAAATTTGGTACTATCATTTTTTAAATTTATTTTTTGAGAGAGGGTCCTCCTCTGTAGTCCAAGCTCTCCTTGAGATCACTACTTAGCCCAGGTTGGCCTTGAACTCATGGCAATCCTCCTGTCTCACCCTCCTGAGTGCTGGGATTACAGATGTGCACCACCAGGCCCGGGCTACTGTCATTTTTTTAAAAGCAAAATTTTTCTAAGGTCCATTTAACAATGTTTCTGGTTTATAAAAAGGACGTCACTGAAGAGAACAGCAAAATAGACCTACTCTTCTATATTGATATCCTGAGATACAGGACAAGTGTCACAGGCTATGTAGATTAAACTAAGGAAGAAAGAAACCAAATATATATTCAGCACTCTCCATGAAACAGCCTGTTTGCTAAATGCTACATAATTCAACCTTCGCCATGGTACTGTGAGGCAGTTAGATTTTTCTCTGCTTTCTACAAGAGGAAGCTAAAAGCCAAATGGCTTGTCCAAAGTCACATAACCAATAAATGGCAGCCAGAGGGTCAAACGTGGGACCTACAACCCTAGCACTAATTCTAACAAATCCAGCTTTGAATATGTTTCCTCCATTGCTATTCCTCTGTTTTCGCATCCTACGAATTTGTCTAACTAAAGAAAAGGAACCACTGCATTTTACACCATAATTAATGCTTTAAGTTGCCTCCGAGCTGGAAGGGGAGGTCCTTGAATTGAGATTTGAAATGAAAAAGTCCATCTGTGTTTCTACGTAACTGAAAATGCAGACTATACCTGGATTGCGGTACTCAACACATGTCCCGTTCTTTGGGAAAATTTTATTTGACATTCACTGATACAAATTAAGAATCAGCATCCTAGGTACCTTTCTGAAGATTTTTTTTCCAGCTCAGACTCTCTGCCTAGTGAGCAATTACAAACTTGATTTCTGCAATGGATTCAGAGTTCCAAAGACAAAGGAGTCAAAATAACAACAATTCTTGTCTATTCCCAAGCTCAATTTTTGAAGTTTTTTAAAAAAATTACATGCTAACCTGTGAGAGTCTGTGTGCACCAGTTCATGTGTACCATACAGTCACTTAAAAGCACATCTGAACCCAGTGTTTTCAGAGACTGAAATTTTTATTAAGAAAATCTGCAGTATACACATCCCCTTTAAAAACAACCACCTCAAACATGGAGAAACATTTCATTTTCTACTCACTATTTGATCAAGGCCAGAAGAATGAAACCACAACACCAAAATACAGACCAATATATTTGAAGGGGATAATAGTAATCATTTGTGATAATAAAGTACTAGCAAATCAGAAGAAACAAATCAAGATATTCATTTCAAAGGCTCAACCACTAAGTCTTCATCCAAACGAATGTTTCCACTGTGAGTTGATGTATTTGGGCCATCACATAGCTCCATACACAACCTACAGTTAAAAACGTGAGAGTTTCTTGATTGTATTGAAGACTAATAGCCAGCAGCTTTACAGAACTGTATAACCACATAGCAGGAGTTTAGAAACAGTCACTGGAAAATATAAAGGTGTGTTTTATGTTGCAAATGATTGTATCTGCAGGAGCGTTTTTACCTCCTGATTAGGGTTAAGTAACCATTCCACAGCTGTCCCTCGGAGTCTCCCTCGGATACCCGTTGTCCCCGCCTTTCCTGAAATTTTATAAATGTGTTCCAGATACAATGCATTAAAGAAGGGAAGTACACGGATAGGAAAAGAGCCTCACATCTTGGACAGGAACAGAAAACATATCCATAATGCATTCTTGCTGTCAGGACAACACACGTGATGTCCACAGCTGGAAACCCCTCAAAAAAGATCATCTGTGTTTTTAATCCGAAGAGGAAAAAAAGTTAGGTCGGTTACTTGACTACAGTTTCCAGGGCCCTGGCATAGCTACACTCTTAGGCACCGTTCCAAGGCGCTGCCTGCACAAATTTGGACAGAGGGAGGGAGGCACAGATGGTGGTCACGTGAAGGCACAGGCCGACTGAGTAGGCTCGGTTACAGAGTCCGTACGTTTCGGCTGCTGTATTCCTCCTATTTCAAGTCCTGCCAAGTCCCGGCTGTTTCCCTTCTTTCCAAAGTCTTGATTCATTTAATTCTCCTGAAGGAGGTGGGGGAGGAGGAGGACTGCTCAAATCTTACTCTCTTATGGTCTAGAAGAGACAGTCACCATCTTGGCTTCCTGTCAGGTTTTAGATGTAACATTTTGCTAAGTGTAAAGCTGTGTATCTGTTCTTTTTCTGTTGCCCTTATTGTAACTTCAATATTTGCAAAACATAACATCAAAATACTTCAAACCTAGCCCAAAGCAGTTTGTTATTCATGCAACACAATTCTTACACATATCAATACACAGTGAGCTTGTAGATAAGGGATCTCTTCTTCCTTTCTCTGTTTTTTTTTCTTTGGGGATTTAAGAATGCTCTGATTACACAGTAGTAAAATCCCTGTTATGTATGTATATGTATATGTATATGTATATGTATATGTATATGTATATGTATATGTGTGTCCTGACTAGTATAGCTATTATTATCAAGCCTATTACTACCTCAGCTGTTTTTGTTTCATTGTTTGGAAATAGGAAGCATACAGGCTAAAGTTAATCTCCTACTTAAAATAACCTGTGAATCATCTGTAAAGCATAGAGCACCTTAATGATGTGGAGAATGTTAACTTTCTAATATAAAATCTTGTAGAGTTCACTATTAAAAAAAGTTGCTGACGGTATTCAGGATCGGCTTCCAGTGATGCCCTATTCATACTAAATAGCATTAAAACACAACTTTCTTACTCTTTCAGAGACTACAACATTCCAGATCATTTTCTTCTCTACGTAGAAAACTGTCAAAACCCAAAGCAGAATTGGTTATTGGTCTTTTTTTTTTTTTTTTAAGCAGGGCACCAAGGACTTTTCAGGTCATCTCCAAGAGATTTGGTGCACTGTTGATGATATTTTTGTCTGTGATCAATTCTGCCCTAGAGTTTTATCCACTGAGTTGGTCAGTGTACCTTCTTAGTCTGGGCTCATGCATAGCAAGGCCATTTTTAAAGTGAGTTAAAATTCAAAAAGGTTTTCATATCTGTTAATCTGGTGTTTTATCTGGAGGACATAAGAGATATTTATAATCCTCTAGGTTACTGTCTTAACATTTTCCTTTTTATTTGATTGTTTTTATTGTGCAAAAATTGACACCATTATCACAATCAATGGAATTATTCTTGCATCTCAAAGGCAAACAAGAACACATTTTCCTTTTAGGGTAGAATTTCATGATCAGGAAAGTGTATCAATAGGCACTATGGAAAGGCAAATTGAGCTCAATTATTATCTTGACTATCTGCTTTCAATGTAGAGCACTAATAGAGAAATTCATGATAGAACTTATGCTGCCTGAATTTTCATTTTATTTTTTATTTTTTTGGTACCGGGGATTGAACTCCGGTCCTTGCGCTTGCGAGGCAGGCCACCAAATCACTGAGCTAAATCCCCGGCCCGTGAATTTTCATTTTAGCTCCTTCATTAAAACATTGAAATTATTCAGGATGGTACCATGAAAAGGTATGTGTGCTTTAAGTCTTAGTTAATTAAAAACAAAACTACTGCCCCCAAGACCATGGACATATTGCCCAAAAAAGGACACCAAATGTTATTTTGATTCTATAGGTTGACTACAGGCACAGGTTACATATCAAATACAGTTTTGTGAATAAAAGGTGTGGCCATTATCCAATTTCCCTGAAAGAGATGTGGATGCCAAGAGAGACACTTTTTAACATATCACAAACATGCTATTTGTATAAACATTTTCCATAGCAAATGCTTTTGTTTTTGTTTAAGTGTTTTCAACCTGAGCATTAGGAACAAACTTTTTTTTTCTTATAATTCTTGGCTTTGGGGTGGTGGGGTGGGATCTTTAGGCATATTCTCTTGTGAGAGTAATTTCTCTTAACACCAACGGCGCTGCCAGAGTACAGCCAGAGCTCATTAAATAGACTTCTGAGCATAATTATAATTAACAATTAGCTAGAAATTAGTTTTAATGGTTTGTTTTAGATGATAGAATAGAAGCACAATGTAATTATTTTTAAACCTTCTACATTATTAAGAATACAGCTACCAGTACCTTCCAATTATTGAGAAGTAGACAATTGCCCCCAAGCATTTAGCAAGTGATTCACTTAACAGAACCCAGTGAGGGAGCCCAAATCCTGGCATCCCAGCCCAGCTTTTTATGATTACTTAGCCCATTGCAAAGCCTATTCCTTTTCTACTTCACTTTGTAAAGCTATCATGTCCTGCAGACATGTGTCTACCAGGGAAAATGAAAACATTCAACCTGGACACTCAGCTCTTCCCTTGCTGCTGCCTTTCACCAAGACACTGGAGTGAAGATCATGCTGAGAGGTCAGAAAGACCAGAAGAAGACTACAAAATCTAGGGAGCGGGCTTGAATTGCCAGTTCCCTTCATTGCACTGGACCAACAGGAAAGAAGGTCATATGAGTCATGGATAAAGTGAGTATCAGGAATAAACCCCACACTCTAAATATAGATTTGTATCAATCTTTCTCCGCTTAGCATTCTTTTAATTTTTCGTGTCTAACAAATCAATTCTGATCTTGTTCCCCCCACCAAGAATTTTTAAAAATATAATAGAGACCTGAAGAAATGCTCTTTGTTTTGTGAAATATGTAAAAATATTCACTTAGAGCAGTGAATAGTATTAACTGTCAAAAGTTTTCTCTTTTCTTAAAAAATTTTTTTTTTCTCCTCTGCTCCTCAGTGTGCTGTTTTCTCTCTCACCTCAGAGTAAGGCAGTTAGGCCTTTTGCTGCTGGCCTTCGGAAGCTGTCAGGGAGCACATCCTGACACCCGCATAAAAGACCTGGTACCTATGTTTCCACATCACAAAGCAGGCCAGCAAGCACACGAGGCCACAGACCAGGTTAAGGACCATCTGGGTGAGTAAGAACAGTTTGAAAGTGCCAGTGACGCTGGCGCAGTCCGTCACGTCCCGGTAAACGAAGGTCCTACTGAGAGGCTCGGTGGAAGGCAGTTTACACTGGCAGGAGTCAAGTGCCGGCTCACAGGTAAACTGTTCAAGCTGCAAGTAGTGGTGGGCAGTGAAAGCCACGGCCAGCACACAGACCGTCAGGCCCAGGGCACTCAGCAGAAAGTACAGCAGCTGCAAAAGAGCAGAAGAAAACCTTTCTGGTAACAAAGACCACTGGATGACTCTTTGCAAAGCGAATTAATGAACACTGTTCTCTTTCTTCTCTCTTAGGAATTCTTCTGGTGGAAGGTCTGTCTCTCCTCAGAGCCCTAAGTGCCTAAGACATGAAAATAGCTTCATATTTATTTATTAGAGAGCAATTATTAAACCCTGATCCATTTCCATTTGCCATACAGATGTTGGGCTCCTTTCATGAATCACACCAACCGTATTAGCTTGATTGTGGGATGTTTATGTCTAGATGTAACACACAATCTAAATGAATCTCAAACAAGATAGCCTTCCCTAGATGACACACAGTGCTTATTTTGAAATCAGGAATTGCTAAATAAGACTAGGAAAAAGAGTATGCTTCTGTAACATAAACACTTCTTTGGCCAAAACTATCAGTAACTGATCAACTAACAATGCAGGTCAATTAAAAAGACTGTATTTGATGTAATAGTTGCCAAGCTGCATCCATAAGGCCAGGAACCCCAGCAAAGGGTGCTAGAAGAAAATCATGGCTCTGGAAGGCAAGTTACTTAATATCAGCTTCATTGTCAGTCTTATTCCAAGTTCAACTATAACCATGAAGTCCCTGAGCATAAAATAAACTCTAAATGGTTCCCTGGGCACTAAGGGTCTGAGCACTGTAGTGCTACGTGTTAGCCTCAGGACTGGAAACATCTGGTTAAGGTTCTAATTCTGCTGTGAAAGAGCAATGGAATCTCTGAACAAGTCATTTAGCTGACTTGCATCTGAGAGACACTGCAGGTCCTCACTGAGTTGGTCATAGTAAAATCTGTTGTACAGAACATGAAACATTCCTAGGATTGGACTCACTGATGGGAAACATTTCTCTTGATGTTCTACCTGTTGAGGGGCTAGATAAGGCCTCACACTCCTCAGACTTTAGAAGTGACCACGGTTCGTGGTGCAAGATCTGTTATTCTACAGCCAAAAGTTGCTCTTTGCAAAGAGTAATCCTGGTGCATGAGAAGTCTCCAAAGTAAAATTAGTTCCAGTAATTTCCATGTTCAGAGTAAAGGCACTCAGAAAAGACTATGCCCTTCTCCTACTCCCAATTATATATAATTTAAACAATATTTTAAAATATAAATACGTGTATGCAAATCTGCCAAATGAGCTATTTTCCACAGTGAAAATTTCAAATGTTTTAAAGTCTTAAATTTGAAATAGTTGAATTTTTAATTTATTTTTCTTGAATGGTGTGTGTGTGTGTGTGTGTGTGTGTGTGTGTGTGTGTGTTTGAATGCATGTGTGTGTTTGCTAGTGTCCCTAAACATGTGTCTGATCTGCCTGGAAAGAAATCCAAAAGAGATTACATACAATTTGAATGTAATTTGAGTCTGGAAGTGAATGGAATTGGTTAATGTCACCTTTTGTCTTTATATATGTTAGTATGTCTTAACTAACTATGCATGCATTCTTTGAATCTTCTCAGGAAAGATATCTGTCAAAATTATTCTGAGGTTGTCAGAGGCAACCCAAGTATCTTCATCTGTGACACAGGTTATAGAAACATGGTATAGCTCAGGAATATAACAAGGATGGTTTAGAGTCAACATGTTTAGTGTTCTTTGAGGGAGCCAGATAAATGCAGAGTGGCTGCATTATAGGCTTTAAAAAGGGATTATTTAATTTGTGATATTGAAATCAGTACTTTGATCCTATTCCCAAAATGTGCAGTGACTATATTTGTTCAAAAGTGGAATGTGTAGACTTAAAAATATTTATTTTCTGGGTTGTTCTGAAAGATTCAGGCTTGATGATTGACTTTGTTTGTTTATTATGACAGGCTCTCACTATGTAGTTCAGGCTGTCCCTGAACTCATTATGTAGCCCAGGCTGGCTTCCATCTCACAGAGATCCTCCTGCCCCACCCTCCCCAGTGCTGGAATTACAGGCATGCGCCACCATGCCTGGTTTGATGATTGATTTAAACTTTAGGCCAACAGTCAAACTGTGCTGGCCATGTTGCACATATGCGCCCATTGCAGCTGTGTCTACTGGGTGCCCAGCAGAGAGCTGGGAACTGTGGGCTCTTGGAATATCAGTACATCATGAGTACCAGGAAGGAAGATTCAAGTTAAACTTGAGTGATAACTTCCTACCCGGTGGAATGGCCCCAAAGAGAGTTTTCTTTGTATATTTTATTGTTGTCAATGGGTGAACCAGGAAGATCTTACAGTTACTCTTGTAAACCTCAACACGTACATATACATACATGCACAGAGAGGGGCGGGGAGACAGATTCTCAGATTTCCTATAACATTCAGTGGGGCAAAAGTCAATTTGCTGAAAATGGAAATTTGTCTATTATTAAAAGAATAGTTTCAGGCTCAGAAATGAAAAGATTTTCCCAAGATCATTTAACAAGTGCAAGCATGAGCCAGGAAGCTGGAGTTAGAACTTTGATCTCCCCTCAGTAGCTATGATCCTTGGACAAATCAACCAATGTATGTGCACCTCTATTTCTTCATCGGTAGACTTGGAGTGATGATCAGAATCGCAATGACTTCACAGGACTATTATAAAGATCAAAAGAGTTGATATCTGCACAGAGTAGAGCATGGTATCTAGTAGCATTCCTGAGGTAATTGTGAAATAAACAGATCAGGGTTCTTAGCATATCAACTCTTCTGTCTTTGCCTTCTCTGTTGTGGGAGTAACAACGCATCCTTGGCTTGTAGGAAGGATGTAAACATTTACACAAACGGTGATTGCTCAACTTTAATTGAGCCTCTTTTAAATATGCTAGAAGCCAGCAAGGACACAAACTAAAACCATCCCCCTTAGCTCCTTGCAATGGAAACCGACCTATAGGATGCATATCTCATATATTCAGACTTGGTTTCTCCCACTCAGGAAAGCATCTGCAACTGGAAGAAGTCACAGAATCAAGTTTCTTATCTATTTTAGGTCATAAATTGTACTTGACCCACCCCCCACACACACACGCCTGTGGGCTACATCTGCAACGCTGTCGCTTACTTTTTTTTTTTTTCTTCCCCTTCATGGCTAAGTTATCTGACAGCTCCTGGGTTAGGATCCATAAATTAAAATCAAGTGGCCTGTTTTACCTACACGGCACGAATAAACTATCAATGAAAGCATGTACGATGACCTTGGGAATCCGAGCAAATATATCTTGATAACAGCAGGAGCGGGAGGCATCTGCGTCTCGGGTCGCAGCGGGCAGAGCGCGGTGGTCGGGCTTATGTAACAGCAGCCCAGCCTGGAGTCTCAGCTCGCTCGCTCCCTGCCTCTCCCTAATTGGTACCCGGCTGCGGCTTGCACGTTGGGTGACTTGGGGAGGAGGCTGGTTCGGCTTCAATTTAATTGTCTTCCCTGGTGGCCTGAATGCTAAGGGCCCCGCTGCAGCACGCTGCGCAGGAGGAGGCTGCCACAGCAGTCCAGGGATGTCTTGGATGTGACAGCGGGGACGGTACCTCGGAATGCTGCCAAAAGCACATGAACGCGACACGTTTTTTAAAATCCAGGGGAGCCCGAGAAAGCTGGGCCACCGAGAGAGAGGCAGGAGACACGACTAGCAGCCAAGTGGCCTGCCAGGGGCAGAAGGCAGGGAGAAAAAAGGATAGTGCTGGTGACATCCAGGGCAGAGAGACAGACAGACAGACACGGAGACGGAGACAGGGACAGAGACATCACTCCCTGATTGCCTGGCTAGCTGAGCATTCAGCAGGAGGAAATAAATACCCAAATTGTGGGCCAGTATAAAATACAGTCATGCTGGTGGGAAACCAAAAATGACAGGTTTTATTCCTGTCCCCCTTCTAAAATAGTGTGAGATGCACACAGAGTCTGCTGTCCCTGGACACCAGAAAACTCAGAGCCTGGTTAAGCTCAACCTGAAGCTGAGGTTAAGAGCAGCTTCAGTGATTCTGGCAACACGTATCCCTGAGAAAGAGAAGCCTCCGTATTTGTCATTGTCTGTGACAGGCAAAAAAAAAAAGGTTGAGATCAGATCTTCCTAGTAGGGAGTTCTCAACCTGCCTGATACTGGTAGTGACTTTCTTCTTTTCTTTTCTTTTCCTCCTAGCTCCTGATGTTAACCAATGTACAGATGATGCAATCCCTTTGGGGCCTCCTGAAAGTGAGGTTTTTGCTTCTCTTGTTTTCTGGGATCATGGGGTGGAGGAATGAAAGCATTTCATGTAAATTGATGAACCCTAGTTTAGAGTGTTTTTCACCTACTGGACCAAAGTTCCTAAAATCTAACAGATTGTTTCTTACTAGGATTTCTTTCATTCTTTCTTTTCCATCAAGTCTTGTTGTTTAGTAAGACTTCAACCAAAAAAGTAAACAGGAACAGATGTCTGCTCTCTCCTGCATTTTTCTTTGAAGAAAAATTTTCCAACAGAACAAGTAAAATTTCCAAATGTAGGTGGATACACCAAAATTTTAAGTCAAAGCAATTTTAAAAGCTTCTCTTTTTTAATTTAAAAAGCTATATGTCGCTATTGGGAAACATTTCAAAATTAGATAAGAACTCCATGTTTATAGCGGCACAGTCTGTAATAGCTAAAACTTGGAAACAGCCCAATTGCCCATCAGTTGGAGACTGGATAAAGGTGTGGTTTTTCTATAAAATGGAATACTACTCAGCCATAAAGAATGAGAAACTAGAGCCATTCATAGGAAAATGGATGCATATTGAGGCCATACTCTTAAGTAAAATAAATAAGATACACATGTGTAAATACGGAATAGTTTGTGAAAAACTAAAAGTTTAAATAAGATCCAAATTGTGTAACTGATAATGTAAAATAGGAAGAAAAGGGCTAAAGTTTTAGGGACAGTGGGAAAGGTAGGGGAAAGGAAATAAGGAACAAGAAAAAATATGATAAAAAGGAAAAAATGTAAACAAAGATTTTGTAAATAGGGGAGGGTGGAGGGTGTGAAGGAAGGGCAGGGGAATGGGGAAAAAAAGGAGAACCAAGATCTGTCATGTAAAGGTACAAGATCCCAATGATGAATGTAACTCTACTGTATACTTAAAAAGTACCAATAAACTCAATAATATAAAAAAATTAGATAAAAATTGCAACATGTTGCTAAAATTTCAGCACTCGCAGATAACCTACTTTTTCTATGAACCAAAAAGATTACCTTTCTTCTGTAGAATTATATCATACATTTTGTGTAAACAGCTTCTTTACTCATTAATATCACATCACCTTTTTATTCTACTGATTGATTGATTGATTGATTGATACCGGGATTGAACTCAGGACCTTCTGCTTTTGAGTCAGGAAGTGGAACCACTGAGCTGAATCCCCAGCACCTCTAATTTATTTTTACAGTATGATTTTTTAAATAACAGGACATTGCTTTTTATGTCAACAGCTTCAATGGTACTGAATGTTCTAAAACATCTTATTTTCTCATAGTAATTTCCAATTAATATTGTTGACTTAATTAATATTGTCACTTTTGTTACTGTAGCAAACAAAAGAATATGTTTTTCTATAGCAGAAGAGTAAACAGTATGAATGGACAAAAAATTACACAAAGCTTTTTATTCTTTGCTAATAATAGTTGAAAGCGTCGAATTTGATATCTTCTAGCTCTGATTGCTCAGATCAGTGCATTATGTCCTTAAATTCTGAAAGACGATATCTATGTCTCCTCTTGGAGATTCTACTGTGTAGTGAAAATGCTGTTCACTTGACTAGACTCCAACCAAGTACACTGTTCCTAACAGAGAGCAAATTCACATATAAATGGAAGGCACACAATTGCCAGGCCATGCACAGCTCAAACACTGCCCTCAGACTCTGGGCACAGGTCATCTGGATACACCCAATGTACTTTTTCTGTCTCAGTGATTCCACCTACGAGAGGAAATACACTTAGATTGCTTCATTATTCAAATAGTCCAAATAACCCCTAAGATATGGAAGCAGGCGCCCGTGGAGACACCTTTCTCTAGCCAAGTGTTTTGTTGAGCTAAATGTTCGATATTCCTTTTAAGGGTTCTAAAGGACACACTTCATATGCTCGCTGCCAACCCAGTTCATGGAAATTAAGACTTAAGAAAAGACTATTATTACCTTTGGGTCTGGATCAATGCCCTCTTAAAACATTTTTTGGCATGCCTGAAAATGCAATTTCTAGATTCATCAGATATGCAGCCCCTTAAAAAGCACTCTTTTATTCTTGTACTTATGTTTCTTTCTATGAGATGATAAAAAAAATTACTTACTTTCATAGAAAACTGGATACATGTCTGTTCATCAACTTGATAGGAGACACAAAGCATAAACAAACCAAGATAGGCCACTAAACAGACCTGCAACGGAGAACACAGGATAATGGGTGTTATCACGGTAAGTTCTGATTCTAACGGCATCCATCTCAGTGTCTTTCACCAGTGACATCCATGGTATCAATCTGTTCATTTCATTTTACTTATCTTTATGTGCCGTGTTCTGTACTCACTTGTAGAACACAGTTTTAAAACTATAAAGTCGTTTCATTTCAATATAGCCAGCATTTATTTGTGTGCCGGTTGCTCTGAAAGTACTTCAGGGTATACACAATGAAGAATACAATTTTCTCAACTTTAATAAGTTTATAGCTCAGGGCGGGCCAAAAGAAGTATGTATACCATTCTAAGGCAGGGCATTCATTATATGTCAAGTGTGATTCAGAGAAGTATAAAAAGAGGAAGAAATTACATTGAGTCAGGCGATGTAAAACGTTTCACTCAAGACGTGGATTTGAAATAGTCTTGAAAATCATAAAAATAATGATCCCTAATGTTTACTAAATACTATGTGCTGGAGCATTTCCAAGGGATTTGGATGTCTTTCCTCATGTAACTGGCATCAAACCTTAGAAAGTAAGTGCTATAATAATCCACAAACTACAAATGAGGAAGCAAAGACACAGAGCGTGTAAAAAACGTAACCAGGGAGCTTGGGTGAAAAGCAGCCATATGAGCAGCAGCACAGAAGTGAGACCACACAGAGTGTGTTGAAGGAAGAGCAAATACATACCCATAACTGAATTAACTAAGTGTCAAACATAAAAGGAAAGATGAAGATCTGAGCATGTAGGAGTGATTTAGTAAGTGGCAGAGTTGCTGCGAAAATTTCTGATCAGGGAGATGACATGATTTGACACATTTGCAGGAAATGAGCAGTGGGGTTGGAAGGGCTGGCAATGAAGACATCAGGATGTTATTTTATTAATCTGAGCAAAATTAATGTGTCAAGGGGCCAGAGCTCAGAGGGTAGCAGGCCAATTCAGAGAAAGGTGAAGAAGAAAAGCGCCTCAAGTATAACCATAGCTATGGCCTGACTTTTGGGAAGACCATAGAGATGGAGAAATAGAAAGCCACATTCATGTCTTTGAAGGTCAGTAATAGCAAGAGTAAGGCTGTACCTCACTGACAGCAGGCTACCGAGAGGAATCGAAGGGAATGTGCTTGATCTGTTAGTCAAACTGCATTTTCTTTTGAATGAAGTGGAGGCTTTAAAACTGACTTAGAATTTGTAATTAAAATATAACTATTGGGGCCAGGGATTTAGCTCAGTGGTTCTGCTGTCTGTCCTGCAAGTGCAAGCAAGGACCCAAGTTCAATCCCCGGTACCAAAAAACAAAACGAAAAACATCTATTCACATTCAATTTTGGAAACCATGAAATATCAATAACATTCTATAATTTAAGATGAAAAATACAAGCAAGATAGTTGCATTTTCTGGTAAGCACAGTTTGCCTAGAGATGAATATTGGAAAGGTGGCTGAGAATCACCTAGCAAACCATCAACAACTGGTTTGGTAATTGTCTTAGTTATTTTTCTCATTACTGAGACCAAATACCTGACATCCAATGTTATAGGAGGGTTGGTTTATTATTGCTCACAGTTCATAGAGGTTTCAGTTCATGGTTGGCTGGCTCCAAGGCAAGATACCATGGCAGAGGGGCATTGCAAAGGAGAAATAGTTCATGGCAGGCAGAAGGCAGGAAGACAGCAAAGCACCAAAATGGTATGCAGCAAGCAGCCACAGATACAACAGCAGCCATTTTTCTGTCTCTTATATTATATCCAGGCTACATACCCTTAGCATGGGTAGCACTCACACCCATTATCCACACTCAGAACTATGACAAACCAATCAGTAGGCTAATTTAGTAGTCATACACCCTTAAATGACAGCAACATATATTCTAGATGCAGCCACCTCTGAAAAAGCCCCATCTACAACCACATGAGTCTTTGGAGGGGCATCTAGACACAAACTATAATAGTAATATTCATAATTCCTATCACTAGGACCCACTTCAAGCTGTAGACAGTCCTAGTTAGGGTGATAGAGCTGGTAACTTAAAAGGCAACATAATTTTTAAGAATATTTCTATTCTCTCCTCAGTTATGTATTGAATACAATTCCTGTACCTGCATCTCTTCCCAAGTAGAGCATTGTTCATTTTTCTACTGGACCATGAAGCCAAAAGCAAAACTTCATGTTAGTCCTGGCTCTTTCCAAGGTTTTTCATTATTAGGACTGGCTACATGGTTTAATAGCAGCAGATAACATTTCCAGTGGAGAGACACAGCATTAAAATAAGTGAGCATGGCATGGGTTGAAGAGGTGTGGATGGAGAACAAAGCAGATCAGACCCCAGGAGGCAGATTTTCAGAACAGGGCTGGCAGGTGCAGAGGAAATGATACTGAAGTTGTTTGTGCAGTTTATAGGTAGCTGACATTTCCAAGTCAGGGATGAAGTACTTTTTAAAAGCACATTTTTAAAAATACCAAATCAAGATATAAGCTTGATAAGGTCTATTAGAATTTACTGTATATTCTCACATTGAAGATTCAGAGAGCTGAAACAATAGACGAAAGACCTCCTTTTTGTACACTGGTAGCAAACCAGGTCAGGGTTCTGTGCTCCCTCATTGGTGTCTGTCTGTAGGTGCACAGGGTCAGAATCTCTGCTATGTAATTCTTTGTCCCCTAGAGACAAATTGTGCTGAATTAGACAACTGCCAAGACTTTTCCTCTTGTCTTTTTGAGAGACGCATTCAAATAATCAGGCCTAACTGACCAGCATTTTAAAAAATCTGATTCAGTGCCTCCCTCTGCTTGAACAAAAATTTCTCCTTTTGCAGTAGCTATTTCTTTGTAGCCTTCATTTAGCCTGGTTTCCAGTGAGATGTTGCATAGAAATGCATGACCTCATTCTACAGCATTTCATTTATTCAGTCGGCAGAACTTTATTGAGGGTATACAATAGCCAGATCCTGTGCTATTGTATGACTCTGGGAATTGAGAGATGAAAAATATAGTCAGTTACACCAAGAACTATCCAGCCTGTAGGGTTTCTTATTCCAGTGGGGAAAGAGAGGAGAGTGAAGTTACAATATAATGTAGGTAGTAAAACGATATCTGCTGTGAGAACAAACCAAAGAGATTGCTAATTTTGAGAAGAGTTCATGGAGGAAGATGAATTTTGAAGGCTGTGCAGAAATTAGCTAGAAGGAGGGCATGAGAAAAGGTATTTTGGGCAGAATGAGTAGTGTTAGTGTAAAGACATGGAGAAACACAGAGTGAATATTATAGAGCCGGACCAAAGATGCTTTTTAGAACAGTCCACCTGGCTATGGAGAATGCAACAAATTGGGGAAAGATCTGCGAAGGGGAAAACAGCTAAGAAGCAATTCCTGTCTGAATGGAGAGGTGAAAGCTCAGGTGGAGGTGAAGATGGAGATTGAGGTGTTTGAGTGGCAGCAGGACAGCCGAATCCATAGGCTCTAAAGACTGAGTAGCTGTAAGGCTGAAGGAGAGGGAGATTCAGGAAGGCACTCGGTGGCCTACCTGACCTGCATGTGCAGGTAGATGATGTTGACATCTCATGAGACATGAGATGTAAAGGGAGCGGCAGATCAGGAGTGAGGCATGATGATCACACATGGTCTCAAAGCTCAGCCCTTTGGGCCCAGAGCTCGGGAATGAGGCCTGGTCTGAAGATGAGGATTTGTTCATCAGCAGCATATGTGAAGCTATTGAAACCATAGGAAACACTGGTCCATCCAAAGAGCATCTCGTGAAAACAGAAAGGAGCCTGGGAAGTTACCCAATTATGAAGAAATTTTGAATCTTTAGAACAGAAAACATCTTAAATGTACTTCTTATAATTTTGGTCTCATATCATGTCCTATCTAAAATTTATGAAACTGGTGATACTTTTGGATTTCCAAAAGCCTCACTTCTAGGTCCTTGTGTCCCCTTGCTAAAAAGCTTGAATTCAGATTTTAATGTCTTAGCCATCTGATGGGACTTGATAAATTCTTGACAGTGTTTCCCTACCCACAGCTTTGCATGTTGCAATACAGCTTTTTTTTTTCTTCAGAGTGTATCGGTGCTGAGCAAAAGCATGTTCTAGAAGAACAGTATTTATTGGACACTTAAAACTGATGGCTTTATGGCCATGCGGAGGAAAGCAAATCTCTCCCGCCAGACTAAGGGTCTTGCTTCCTGACCTGGCAGGACTTGGGCATGCCGGGAAGACACGGTGTTCTGGCTTTCCAGGCAAGGAAGGGGGAGCTCATGTTAATGAACACTGAGACCGGCCAGACCTTTCTGGCACAGCGTTCCTGGAATCCAGGCCAGCGCTCCCATTAGATATGGTGAGGTGAGGCCCACAGAACAGGAAACAAGCAATTATGTGAGATTTTCAAGGAGGCCTTTGTCGGACCAGACACCCAGGCCTGAGGTGCACAAGTGGTATCACAAAGCACAAAGCCAAAAGAGAAAGGGGTGGCGCTGGAAACCAGCTCTAAGGAGTCAGCAGGGCCAGGAGCATTTAAGACCATGGTAAAGTCTGTGTGTGAGTGGATAATTATATTGATAAGAAAAGCTTGGAGGGCCCGGGATTTAGCCCAGCAGTTCGGTGGCCTGACTTTCAAGTGCAAGGACCCCAGTTCAATCCCGGGTACAAAAGAAAAAAAGGAGTTTGTTTTTAGTAGAAAACATAACCAACATCATTTTAACCCATTTTTAAACATGTTTTAGTGTAAGGAGAAAACGTAAGTCCTAAATGTCACATTCTACCAAAAGATTCTTTTTTGTCTTTACCAGGTGAGGCATGCAGCCTCTTGTGAGTTAGAGACTTAAAACAGGGCTGAAATGTTCTCTGAATGTTAAGTCCATTTCTAGATGTAAGAATCCTGAGTCTTGTCACACATTAGGTTGTTATTTATTTGGCCTATTATACCTGCAGTGGTGTCTTTTAAGTGATGGCACTGTGGAAAAAGTTGGGGAGGCATTCAGGGCCAGTG